CTGGCTTTTCCGCCTCGACGCCCCCGTCTATTTGCATCCGCACTCTTCTGCGCGCAAATGGCAGCAGCAACATAGCCGCTTCTTCTATCCTTTTCATAACACTCCCCTTTTGCGCGTCGTAGTGCACACGACATTTGGATCCTTGGGTCCACGACCCTCCCTGAGACATGTTCCGATACCGAAGATACCGCGCGTTTCTCGTCTTTGCTGTTATTGCCGTGCTTGCCATTTATCAATTTGGTGATTCTAGCGCAGGATGGAGGGAGGCAGCATCGAAAGCAACGGGCCTAAAGGGCAACGCTGGCGAAGCTCTGCATAAGGACACGAAACCACGCCCACCCGTGGCGCACGAGACAAAGAGCCTAAAACTAGACGTGCCTGCTGCTAGCACATTGCAACCGCTCCAAACACCGCCCCCAGTAAAGAAGCCGGCTTCTTCTCCAGTCCCAAGCCCTGAAGTCACAAAACGGCCGCTCAAGCCTTCGATCCCCTCGCCGCTTCCACCCCGACCACACGGCGACCCCGCAGCCATCATCGACAATGACGTAGACCCATCGTCGAGTATCGAAGTCATACATTGGAAAAAGCTGCCTGAGCACTTCCCCGTACCCACAGAATCGCTCATTCGCCTTCCGTCGGGCAAGCCAAGGACACTACCCAAGATCCAAGCCGAATTTAAGCCCGAAGACGCCTTGGCCAGAACAGACAGGAACGCTAAGCTGGACAGGATTAGAAGCGTTGCTAAGAAGGCGTGGGATGGATACAGGGCAAAGGCATGGCTTCATGATGAGCTACGTCCACAGTCCGGCACCTTCAGGGACCCATTCGCGCAGTGGGGTGCGACTCTTGTGGATGCACTCGATACTCTCTGGATCATGGGCTTGAAGAAGGAGTTTGAGGAAGCAGTCAAGGCTGTGGACAAAATTGACTTCACAACCACTACCCGTGCCGATATCCCCTTGTTCGAGACAACCATCCGCTACCTTGGTGGGCTACTAGCTGCCTACGATATCAGCGGCAGAAAGTACAAGAATTTGCTTGACAAGGCAGTAGAGCTTGCCGAAGTTCTCATCAGTGCCTTCGACACGCCAAACCGGATGCCACAGATGTACTACTACTGGAGGCCTGACTTCGCCTCGCAGAAGCATCGTGCAGGCCAAAGCGTGGTTCTGGCTGAGATTGGTTCGCTTTCAATGGAGTTCACCAGACTCGCGCAACTCACTGGAGAGCACAAGTACTATGATGCTGTTGCACGCATCACAGACAACCTTGAGGAATTTCAGAAAAAGACTCCGCTTCCGGGCATGTGGCCTGTTCATATAGACGCCTCTGGGTGTGGAAGACGTTACGTGGATGTGCCTCCTGAACAAGAACCTCTCAAAGCTCCAGAAGGCTATCCCAACATTGACCCCTCGGCTGATTCCCAGTCCGCTTCGGATTCCTCCGCTGAGAAGCTATCTCCTGAAGGCAATAAATACATTCCGTTGAAATTGCCAGATCCCGTCATGCTCATTTCTGATGCAGACCGCCTCAAGCAGGCTGCAGAGAAGAAAGAAACTGTGCCATCGAGCGACTCGGTGCTCAAACGACGACAGCTTGATATCAATGAGTCAAGTCTACCCGGAGCAGAGCCAGACCTCGATACAACTGCTAAGACCTCATCTGCCCCACCTACCATACCAGGGCCTCCAGAGTGCATACCGCAAGGCTTCGTGGCGACTGGCAGTGGACGTGACGAGTTTACGCTAGGCGGTATGTCTGATTCCACATATGAGTATTTACCGAAACAATACTTGCTCCTTGGTGGCCAAGTCGAGAAGTACCGGACCATGTATGAGCAGTCAATGGACGTAGTCAAAAAGCATTTGCTCTTCCGGCCGATGCTCCCGAAAGGGGAGAATATCCTATTTTCTGGAAAACTCACAGTCCCAGCAATGTATGACAACACTGAATCCGGCGATCTATTAGCAGAGAATGCCCATCTGACTTGCTTTGCCGGAGGAATGTTTGGCATGGGCGCAAAACTATTCGACCGCCCCGAAGACCTCGAGGTTGCCAAAAAGCTAACGGAAGGATGTATTTGGAGTTACGACATGACATCCACTGGCATCATGCCTGAATCGTTTGAAGTAGCACCCTGTGACAGCACGAAAGAGTGTGCTTGGAACGAAACACTCTACTGGGAATATATCGACCCACGACACGAATCTCGCATAAAATATTACGAGGAGCAAAGGGAAATTTACGAATCACAAATTGCTTCTGCGTCATCATGGTACAAGGCTCAGCTTGCTGCGATGACTCCACCACCGAAACCTTCTCCTGTTGCTGCAGTTACAGCAAAAGCCACATCAACTCTGGTATACGCGGATACACTGGACAGGCGCCAACTCGCTGAGCTTGTAGATGATGCAGAAGTTGCACACATGCCAAGCTCGTCTGTAAGCGTACAGCAAAATCGAGATTCAGTCATGGGCGGCGAACCTGAGGAAGGCGAAGGTCCTCCCATCATGGCCCAACCAACATTGGATATCCCAGAATTTGCTCAGCAGCCAACTCCGACTCTACCAGACTTCCCTTATGTTTATTCGCCAGTCCCCGTCCTGAGTCACAAGGATTATGTGGAGAATAGGATCAAGGAAGACCGACTGCCAAACGGTGTTACCAGAATTGGGGCCAAGAGTTACATTCTTCGGTAAGTCCCTTGCTCGCTTTCAAGCCAGCAATATGCCTATGTTTCGTCATATCACTAACGTTGATCACAGTCCTGAGGCAATCGAGTCCGTATGGTACATGTATCGTATAACCGGGTCACAGCACTGGCGCGAAGCCGGTTGGCGCATGTTTCTCGCCATTGACCGACACACAACCACCGAGTTTGGCAATTCCGCCATCGACGACGTGACGAAGACGGCTCCTATGCTTCAAGACGAGATGGAGAGTTTCTGGCTTGCCGAGACGCTGAAATACTTTTACCTCCTATTCTCGGAGGAAGATGTTATCAGCTTGGATGATTGGGTATTGAATACGGAGGCGCATCCGTTCAGGCGCCCGACTTGAAAGGGGTTTTTACGTTGTCTTAAGTTACGCAATAGTGGCTAGTAGCGTCCGATTATTATCTTTTTGCGTGCACTCTAATAGCTGGTCTGGGCACGCATTGCATAGAGAAATTGGATTTATCATTGCCCCTGTCTTTCTTTCTAAACAGATCGTTATGTAAACACGAGATTGCAGAAGTTGTATCTAAGATGGGCTTTCGTGATGAAAAGGGTTACGCAGGCCCCGCATTTGGGTAGTTTACTACGAACGCGAGCAGCTCCTCTTGTGTGACTTGCTTCTACTTGTTACCTTATTTTAGTTCTAGGCTCATTCATAGGCCGTAACTTGATGGGCAGGATAATATATGACAAGATGTTCTACAGAAAATTCCTTGTTCCTTAGGTACTAGGCACGCAACCAAGTCTGAGACTCACGACTTCGCGATGCACGTATTCCAAGATTTGTTGCTCGGTGGAATACTCCGTGCCAATGATATGTCACTCCAGTCCATAAGGATAAAAATAATAAGATCCACCGCTATTTCCAAGATGAATTCATCTGCTATTAAACTTCGCTGCTAAGACCCGCCTCCGCATATTTCCATATGGCGCGGATCATTATCTCATATTGTAGCAATCTGAGGAGGATCTCGGCTGGATTTTGCTCGCATGGTCAAATTCAATGTCAGCACTAAGCTTTTGACAAAAAGCTTCTGCAAGTGTGAAACAAGTCTTTTTCATGAATTCAGACCGACATACGTAAGAAATCTTGAAACTACGAGGGTTTGTTGGAGCACAAAGAGACGCTAAGCTTTTCGGGCACGGTGAACACAGTCAGATTGTCAAGCATAGAGAAATTGATATGGTACCCCACATAGGTTCCTGTGGGTAAAGTTGTCTTGATGCGGAGATTACAGGGTAGGGTAAAAAGGTCGGGCTGGAGATCGGATGCGGCTTAGTTCCCGTCATCCCGGTGATATGAACCTGGCACACCTGGCACTGAAAGAAGAGAGGGCAAAGTGCAAATGGATGGCGCAGAAAATAAGACGATTTTATCATGGGAAGCATACTACCGCCATATGTATACAAATAGGCGGTTCAAGAAATACCAATGGTAGTAGAATTGGCAAAGCTTAATCGAAGAACTACATATTAGAGAACCAGCCATGCACGTATTAACAAGCGCTGTACTACCCGGGACGGCAGTCAGGCGCACGGCCATTCACGACGGTAGGATATACTCGATACATACATATATTCAGGGATCCGCATCACTAGCAGGAACAACGGCTGTAAACTCCGTTCATCGAACACTAATTGATGAAAATATTATGTCAGTCGACATCCTTCCTTACTAACAATTTTACAACATGCTCGCCTTTTACAACGTCCACATTCTATCCCAGCGGTGGGGATTGGGAAGCTACAAGTGAGAAGGTTACGATAGCAAGATCACAAACCCCTCACCAACAGTCCAACCTCTATGTTTTTTAAACTCGCCAAACCGCGCATGATCCATAGAGGAGTAATCACTTTAGATGACCGATCAAAAGTTTCACGGCAGAAGTAGGTAATATGCGGGGACTAGTCCGTGAATACACGTTTTGAGAGTTCAGTAATTGTATCCATATTAGTTATGAATATTGAGATTCCCATTTGGGGCCCCAGTCAAGTATCACGGGCTTTGACCTGCACCCAACACATACTATAACTGACGCGTACACAATTCACCGCTTAGGACACTCCGTCGGAACCTAGGAAAGCTTCGCGCGTATAGTTTCGCGCAACATTATGAAGATGTCACCTCGGTTACCATTGACCTTCTAGAATACCCCCACCCTGGAAGGCTGGAGTCTCGAATGTTAAGACTGGGTAGTATAAAACGGTCTCGGTACCTTGCAAGAGAATAGACAGAACAGCCACAGCCATTTCAGATCAAAAGCTTTCTAACAATCGCACACCATGAAGATTACTTTATTCATCGCCGCCGCCCTGGCCTCCGTCGCCGCTGCTCAAGACGCCTGCAAGCTTTACAACTACTACTCAAGCAACGGCTACGAGATCCTCAACAACCTCTGGGGCGAAGGTTCTGCGACCAGCGGATCCCAGTGTACATACGTTGACGAAGTCACCGACGCCGGCACCAAATGGCACTCAAACTGGACCTGGACTGGTGCCCCAAACAACGTCAAAAGCTACGTCTATGCCGGCCGCTTATTCACCAGGAAGCCTGTGAGCCAATTTACGAATCTGCAAACCGAGGCAAACTGGGCCTACGACACCACCAACATCCGTTGCAACGTTGCCTACGATCTCTTCACTGCCAAGGACGCCAACCACACCAACGAATACGGAGACTTTGAACTCATGATCTGGCAAGTAAACCCGCTAACCCCGCATGTTTGTAACTATTGCTAATCGCCTTATAGGTTGGCTAGGTGGGACGTCCACCCCATCGGCAGCTCGCAAGGCATGATCAACATCGCTGGCTACACCTGGGAGCTTTTCTACGGCTTCAACGGCGCCATGAAAGTATACTCCTTCGTAGCGCCCAGCCCTGTCCCACATTTCACCGCCGATCTCAAGGAGTTCTTCACGTATCTTACTGAGAAGAAGGATTTCCCTGCTTCGACTCAGAATCTCATCAGTAAGCCTGCCCATACTCACATAATATGGAACAAGATGCTGATATGTTTGCGTTTCTTTTAGCCTATCAGTTCGGTAGCGAAGCGTTTACTGGAGGTCCTGCTACGTTTTCGGTTAACAAGTGGAGCGCTACTGCTTCTTAAACTACTTTTTTCGAGATGAAAGTGGGAGGGTCACAGATGGAGAAAGGTTTAGAACAAATCGGCACATATTGCTGTTTTCTCTTCGGTAGCGTTGTCGTTGTGCATATACACTATCGAAGTTTCCATTCCTATACTATATAGGAACAGGAGTTCCAGAATATACACTCTTACTCTTGATTTGATTGTCGAAAGTTACGTCCACTAAAAGGCTATCCTTTTCCAAGCTATTCAAAATCATCATCTACCTATTTGAATATCTGAGATCTAAGGCGCTATTTTGAAACTTCTCTTTTTTTGGATACTATATCAAGATATTAAAAGGCTTTAAGAAGAAGAAAGAAATGTCATTTCTACTTTGAAATATAGAGAGCAAGAAGATAAGATGTATAAAAAGTAAACAGTAAAGCTTTCTCACTTGAGCTCTATGCTATGGCTTAATATTTGGCAGTTCTAATATAGCTCCATTGTTACCAATTCACTCAAAGAATTCAGTAGTGGAGTTGAATAATTCTAGCGTTGCAAGATAAGGCAAGCGTAGTAAGAAACCGGTCTAAATGAGACGCTTTTGTCCTACGCCTGTATCACAGAAACATTGCTTTAAACAATCAAACTATGCGCCTGGAATCCCCTCATCTACCTCCAAAGCTACTACAAAAAAAGTTCCTTCTGCCTTGGCTAAGATCCGATTCTACCGCTACCTCGTATCACGCCTTGTTATTACCTTTACCCGTGATGCAAGGTGTTCCCTTTGGCTGACAAGTAGTATTCAAGTCTCCACACAAAACGGCTACATCAAAACATCAGCTCAATGCTCCACCGGGTCAAAAAAATGTAGTAGTGAGAGAAGATATCTACTTACCGTGGCAGAATCCCGTGCAGCATTGCAAATTGCCTCCAGGCAGTGTACAGAAAGCTATGAGTTTCTTTCGTTAGCATGCTAAGACATAGCAGATTAGGGAGTGAATCGACCTACATCCGTTGTTAAGGCATTGGCGTTCCTGGAGCTCGACTGGGATAGCGACGGCGGAGGCGACGCTGAGGATGGTGGCGAGGACTGCAACGAGCTTCATGATGGAAGTTTGAAGTGATTGATTGATTGATTTCAAGTAGAGTTGAATTGTTAAGATATATAGATGTAGGATGATAGCTCCAAACTCCATTAGAGAGAAGCCATTATTTATACTTGGAGCTTCTATCCCCTACATTTTCACGTTGCCTGATCTTTAGCATGCCAAGTGCTCGTGTCTCTTCATCGACCGCACGAGACTGAAGCCACATTCACTGTCTAATGACTCGTGAGCTAGGGTTTCTTTGCATAAAGTAAGCACTTTAGGGATCCTGATCCTACAAAGTACAACTCTAACCGCGTATCTTGCGTCGCTACGAAGTACCCTATCCGGGAAACACCGGCACTTGGTATATTGAATTGGGGGGCTGAGGGATCCCTGCAAGCCACACCTACTTCACACTATAAGCCTATACTTTCAGGACGGAACCAGCCGTATTGTCCTGCGTGTGTTGGTCGCTTGCATCCAAGTAGCTGGGCTATGTTGCTAGCGATGCGGGAAGCCTATTAGTCTCCATCCTGCTCGATTTCATATCTATGACGAATCTCGTTGAGATATTGTTTTTGTTGCTACAACCACTAAATTGATGCCAAAGTTTCATGGAGTGGCTCTGATCATGGGTCATCGGACGTTGTTGACACAGGATCCCCAGAGTCCAAGAATAAGAATAAAATCGTATTCATTCTAGCCCAGCTCTAAGTTATACCGTTAAACAACAGTCCAAGAAGCTTACCTCCGTAGTATAGTCGTGCTCGCAAACGGGATTTTCCAATACTTGTCAATCGTACTAATCAATAATTGGCTAGATTTGCTTTTCGTCTGTCAGACGCTAAGTATCTTGGCATGGTATACTATGCAACAATAACAAAAAACCAAGCAAAGTAAATGGATGAAACAGAGAACTACCATTGTGAGGATGTACTAGAGAGCGCTTAAAAAAAATTTCGTATGTATTCGATACAGTGTAACTTGGTTGATCAGACTCTTGCTGCATTTTCGTGGCCATTTCGGTTCCTGCCGTGCCGTCAGGCGCACCAAACCAGATTGCTACAAAAACTCTCGATCGATCCAAGTGGCCCTTCCACGTGGCAGCTGAGTCACCCTTTATGGTTTAGATACTCAAGAGTAAGATTTCCTGATCTCACCGACCACGGGCCTGGAATTTTGGTATCCCGTCAGATCTAGGCTTCATCCGAAGGAGGAACGGATAACCCGGCTAGAGCGCAAATCACATCGACCGCCGGAGTGTAGTTGCGAAGCAATCATATAGTTATATAGATGCCGCGACTCGGCACTACTTGGCCGGTACAGCCGGATGTCAAGGTATATACGTCTTGTCGTAGCAATGCTTTGTAAACAGAGGGAGGCAAGGTTGATTGTTTGTCTCTTCCAAAGATTTGGACTAGGTACTAAAGCTGCGCTAACCCGTATCTGGGAGGCACCGCCACATCGGCAGCAACGTCTCCATATTGAGAATTGCCCTTTTCACATATTTAGGAGTTAGTCTTTCAGTGAACTGTTGGTATTTCAAAGGTTCCACGTAAGTATACTCGTCGATCTTGTTGAAGGTAAATACAACGAGCGTAGAATTTCATGCATGCGCATAGTGAGGTGGTAGTAAAAGGGAAACACGAATGTAGCATGTTAGTGAGCAGAGACTTTACACTAATTTATTTATGCATAATAATGCTTAATTAGGACGAGCTATCTGCACCCTGTGGTTTCCGAAAGAGAGGTAGCGGTAAATACAATAAATCAGCTCTAGTTATGTTACCTGGCGGGAATCTTGCGCGCGTTTAGAAAAAAGACTGGAACTAGCCAAAAGAAGAATAACATAGAGCTAAGAGTAATCTATGATAGTAACGTGGGCGCTAGACAAGACTTATATAGTAAGCGTTGTTTTACCCTATAGGTTGGCAAAGGTTATTCGTTACCCCTATAATAAGCAAATGTCACCCCTATAAGTAAGGACCCCCTGCTTAGCCTTAAAGCTAACTTACTCTATCATTTATTACACTTATAAAGTAAAAAAGAGAAAAAATCTCACTCTTCTTACTCTCTTTTTTTCTCTCCTTTCGTCTTATTTTTATTAGAGAAAGAAAGAAGAAGAAGAAAAGAGTAAAAATAAGAGAGTAAGAAGAGTAGAAGAGAGAAGAAAAAAAGAAAAGAGGGGAGAGAGAAGAGATGGGAGAGAGGAGAAAATGAAAAAAAAGATTATAAAGATATAAATTATGCTTATTAACATAGAACGAGTGCCGTACTGACTCACCACCCCTGCTTATGTGGGTGGTATTTACTTATTATGGGGGTGACAAATAACTTTTGCTACAAAGGCCAAGTAACTCAAGCCTGCTTTATTACTCTTGCCCATGTTCAAGCATCCGGAGGTACCGGATACGAGTAAATAGCACCGAAGGGAACTTCCTTGAAGCTAGCGCGAATCTATCATACGTCACCTACTAGCATTTCGAACGTCACTTCGTTTTTTTTTTGGGAAATTTCCGGTTATTGCATTGCAACATATAGCATCTCTTACATTGCGTGGAACAGAAAAAAAGAACAACGATACCGTTTAGGAAGACCCGATCTAACGATAGATCAATACTTAAATCGTGTGTACAGCTTGGAAAGTTACAAGCAGAACGGATGTGAGCAAAAAAAAAGAAAAGAAAAAAAACAGTGAGTCCACCTGCAGCAAAAGATGTTCTAATACTCATCCGCCCAAAGTCTGACCTGATCCTCTTGAACTACCATCGCCGACTCGGTGTTAGCCGGCGACGGTCATGAGCCAGGTTTTCTGATCCGACAATGGAAAATCTCATGCCAACCCATCATCTCCTCATCTCGCCCAATCACGCCTCCGAGCGCGTAAACAGACGCATAACTACCATGGTTATTGCATCTGGCTATATATCCATTCTGATGTCAAATAACATACTATATCTTCGCAGAACGCCAATCCTAATGAACAGCCATAATTAGACAATGCCACAGCACTACAAGTCCTTGGCTTCTCCCATTCGGATGCCCAATGGCAGGCTTTCTTTTTTTTTTAGATGGGACGTTAGGTAGTTACATACGACATCGTCGTCGTCGTCGTTCTGCAATGTCAAACCTTGAACATTCGCGTCTCTCCACCATACAGGATTTTGCCTAGCGTGCTAATCCACAATATCATGGGTCGTGTAAGATGTAACCACGTTGTCAAATGAACAAATGTGGGCTTACTTTAACGCTACCGCTACCCTACCTTTAGCCATGTTCTGTGCGACCTCTACCATACCCCTACTACAAGGTATGGGTAGATTGTACTCATTTGCCATTATAAAGAGATTAATGAACAAGTTTCTTAGTGAACACTTCATCCGGATTTGACAATACCAAGAGTGCGCTATATTTCCCGGTGCGCTTGAACACATTATTGTCTTTTGCACAAGTCCCAGATGGGACGACCATTATCACAACTTAATGGATCTATATCACATTTTTTTATGTATATCTACAAGCGGAATAGAGAGTATGCATACTCGCACAGACGCCTCCCAGCCCCCATCTATCCATCTACATCCAAGTGGAGTATAGCAGCAATACATGACATAAGTCCTAATATCTTACAAGCTCCTCTTCTCAAACTTTTCCTCATAGCACTGAATCTTATCACCAACTCTAAAGTCTTCCCAGCCGTCAAACGAGATGCCACACTCCGTATCCTTGCGCATCTGCTCGACGTCTTTCTTCTGGTTTTTGAGTGAAGTAATGACACCTGTGAAACAAGATATTAGCATGCTGCGTTATTTTGTGAGAATCCGTATCCAAGACTTACCATCATGGACAAGCGTCTCACCACGGAGCACTCTTGCCTTTGTGCCCCTATCGACGACACCATTGCGCACCTTTGACCCGGCAACTTTCATCTTCTTCTTGCCACCCAAGCCAATCTCAAATATGGCTGCAATGTCTACCTCACCCGTGACTTTTTGAATGACCTTTGGTGCGAGCTTCTCAGACAAAAGCTCCTTCACATTTTCGACAACGCGGTATATGATGTTGCTGTCGAGGATCTTGACGCCCTTTTCCTCTGCGAGTTTAGCAACATTTCCAGGAATGGTAGTGTTGAAGTTGACAATATGGCCGTTTGCATCGGCTGCGTGCGAAACGTCAAATTCTGAAGGTGCACCGACGCCATGGCGAAGGATGCGTGTAGAGACTTCTGCGTTGCCAAGAGCAGCGACAGAGTCGATGACTGCTTCTACAGAGCCAGAGACGTCGCCTTTGATGATGAAGCTTACGACTTCTGGACCAGCTTCCTTCTTTTCAGAAGTCGCAGGCTCCTCACCATTTTCGATAGCCTGGGCGGAGGATTCCTCAGCTTCGCGACGCTCTGCTTCCAGACGGCGGAATTCGTTGATAGCTTCCATGTCGCGTGCCATTTGTTCCCTCTCCACCTTTTCGCTGCGCAACTCAGTAACAGAAGTTGCATGCTGTTCGTCTTCGGCTTGAAGCACTTCGTCTCCAGCAATAGGCTGATCGCGCCAGCCATCAACCTCAACAGCCATACCTGGTCCAGCTTCCTTGACCGTTACGCCCGCTTCGTTACGCAGACTACGCACACGTGTCCAGGTAGTACCTGCAACGAGGGCTGTGCCTTGGCGAAGGGTACCACTACGGACAAGAACAGTCGCCACACGCCCAGACTTCTTAGTTGTACCTTCCAAGACCCATCCTTCCACGGCAGCCTGAGGATCGGCGCGGTGATCCAGCATCTCTGAGAGAGTAGAGATAGCTTCTTCCAAGTCTGGAATACCCTGACCAGTCTTTCCACTCACACAGACAGCCTGGACATCACCACCAAAGTCTTCAATCTCAATGCCGTGGCGACCGAGATCGAGCTTGACAGCCTCTGGGTCGGCTTGTGCTTTGTCAATCTTGTTGATGGCAACAATCATGGGCACCTTAGCAGCCTGCGCGTGCTTGATAGCCTCGACAGTCTGTGGCATGACAGAGTCGTCCGCGGCAACTACCAAGACGACAATGTCGGTGACGTTGGCACCACGAGCGCGCATCGTCTCGAAAGCAGAATGACCGGGCGTGTCAAGGAAGGTAATCTTCTTTCCGTTTGCTAGTGGCACGCTGAAAGCACCAATATGTTGCGTGATGCCACCAAACTCAGTGGCAGCAACACTAGTCGAGCGCATGTAATCGAGAATAGTAGTCTTTCCATGGTCAACGTGCCCCATGATAGTGACAACCGGCGGTCGAGCAGGGAGCTCAGCATAGGCCTCGGGTTCCAAAGGTGGTGCAGGATACAAATCACCATCTTCTTCTTCAGACTGGAAAATGGGTTCGAAGTTGTACTCTTGCGCGATGAGCCCAGCATGTTCGGCGTTGAGAATATGATCGTTTTGCACGTCCTCGAAACCCAGCTCTTCTAGTTTCTGCACAAAGTCTTCCACTCGTAGTTTCAACGCTCCAGCGAGATTGGCGACGGTGATATACTCTGGTAGAGAGATGGGAGTTGGCTCGTTCTTTGCAGCTTGCGCCGCCTTCTTCGCTTCGGCCCGCAGTCGCTTGCGCTCTGCCTTGCTAATAGATGGGCGCTCCTCGTCTTCTTCGTCTTCGAACCGTTGTATCCGCCCTCTCCTGCCCTTGGTCCCGCCCTGACGGCGGGCAGGCTCTTCATACCGGTTCTTTTCCTCGGGCTCATCGAATGCGAAGCGGCTCCGTCTTCTCTCGCTCTCGATGTCATTGCGTCGTCTGGTGTCCTCCTCAATCTGTGACGGAGACGGAGGTTCAATGTCCAGTTTGCCCCTTGACTTTTGTGCCCAAGCCTCAGCTGCATCTGAGATGGACTCCTTGTAACGCTGTGGTGGACGATACATTGTTTTTGCTTGTTCGGTTCGCTGTTGCTGCGGCTTTTCACGTAATGTCGGCTTTGCTGGGCATGCGGTAGTTGCGTGTTCCTTGGAGCCACAATGCCAGCAGATTCGTTGCGCATCGGTGTTCCTTCCAAGCGGCTGATATGGCTTGGACGGACGATTAGTCGTAGATGCATCGCCCAATAACTTCGATATTTCATCTTGGTCCAGCATCTTCCTTTGTGGTGGCGCTCTCGTGGTTGGCTGCATCCGTCGATGGTCTGACGCGAGCGAGGCGCCGTCGTGTTGGGGCTCGTTGCGTCGTCTCAAGTGGCCAGAGCCGAATGCAGGCGTACTGACCTGTGGTCTGGCATCCATATTGACTGTATACCGGTTCTGTTGCATGCTCCTGTATTCATTCCGGTCGGTGACGCCCGCACGCCGAGGGGCAGGTGCAAAGCGATCTCTGGTCTGATTGCGGCCATGCCCCTCGGTCGCACCCACCCTATTCACTGGCCGTCGGTCGAGGGAATTTTGTCGGGGTGGTTGTGTTTGTGGTTGCTGTGGTCTCTGTGCTGCCAGTGCGGCCTTCATCCTCTCTGCTGGCGACATATATCCTCCTTGCGGTGCTGGTTGAGGGGCAAAGGCGGCACTGGCAGCCAACGCTTGGCGCATGAGCTGTGCCTGCGACATGGGCTTCTCGCGTTCATTTGCATCTTGGTAGATGATTCCTTCTGCTGACTGCGTCGTTCGGCTGGATGAGTTGAGTTGTCGTCGTTGGGCGGCGTGGGATGGCGTAGAGACGGCCAATTGACGAGTGGCACAGAAGATGCAAACATCGCGGGTCGAAGAAACCTGCACGTGTGTCAATTACTAAGCTGATTAAATATACAACCAATTATTCTGCTTACCCGAAGTCCACGCGCTCTCCGCATGTTGGGCGATGTGGTGTTGTGGTGCGTAGTGGCGGATGAAAGAGACGCTCAAAAGTTTGGAGAAGATCCCGCCCACAGATCCTTGTCCACCCACCCCGTTATCACTAGCTTAGCGCGGCAACCACTCGGCCCTTCTCCACCTTTTCCCCCGTGGCTCCAATCGTGTCTCATTCAATCAACATCATGGTATTAACAATATTCATCTTCAAAAAAAAAAGGTGCTCAATTCTGCCAGAAGTCATAATACGATAGTCTTTACATTGCTAATCATCTAAAAGGCATTACAAACTGAAGTATAAAACACAAAGATGAATCTAATCTACGTCATACGAGACAACTAATAAACCAATTATCAAAATCAAAAAAAACACCATCGCCATGCTAGATCAAATGCCAGTCAAACATATCCCTCTTATATCCTCTCAAACCCTCCACCTCAAAGAGGCACGTTGGGCTTAATCTCTCCACCTTGGCTCTTTGCCGGATCAGCACTGGGTTGCTTCGTCACAGTCCCCTTGGCTGCCTCCTTGTACTTGGCCAGTGTCTTCTCGTTATCACTGAAATCCTGATTGATAACACCACTCATGCCCCTCTGGCAATGGTCCCCATTTGTCTGCGAGCAGTAGAACCACATGGGCTTCGTATCCTTGACCATGAACGTAAAGACATTGGGAGCCTCACCGGCCGTAGTGTTGAAGTTGAAGCCGGAAAAGAAGGCGTCGGGGGTGTTGAGAGGTGCGCAGGGTTGGGCAAAGGAGGATTGAACTACCGAGTGCGCTTTGGGTAGGAAGTGGAATTCGATTAGGTCGCCTGGGAGGGCGACGACGTTCTCGGGCTCGAAGTGCAGGCCGGAGTTTGCGGTTGTAGAGCCGGCGGTAATGCGGTGGATTACGCCTGTGGGGTTGATGGTAGAGGAAGGAATGGCAATGGCGTTGGTGAGGGTGGAGAGAAGGGTGGTTGTGAAGACCATGGTGGAGGAGAAAGAGAGCATGATGATTTGTTTATTTGGTGTTGGGGTCTTGGAGATTTGGATATCTGTATAGAACTTGATGTGGAAGCTTTAATAGGTAGGCAGATGGATGTGTGAATGCTTGTTGGTGTGATGATGGAGTTATTTCACAGCACATTCTCATACACATATATACTGGTCTGCCTTCAAATATCAAACAATCAGCATTCTATTCATGTCCTGCACTTAGCCCCCGGATGCTGTTTTTGCCGGAGGAAAGTAAGCTGGATGCTATTGTTGATGTTGCAATTTCGCTAAGGTGGATGAACACAGCCTCACAGCCTCATCCTTGACCATGCTGCGGCGAGCTAGGCCAGCAACGAGTTTGAACTCAAGAGACAGCATCTCGCTGGTTACCAATTTCTTTTTCGGATCCAAGTTATTCCTGGAATCTTCAGGTGCTGCGCCGATGAGTGAAGTGGCAGGTCTTGCTGATGCGGCTGAAATAGATGACGCCAGTTTCGTGGTCTACTGTGGCTGAGCCTCTGAGAAAATAACACCATGCTGAGCCATCCCCACAGCGCTTCGCCGGCTTGGAACCTATTTTCTTTGTAGTGCCGTTTTGGTGCTGATGGTGATGATGATGGTGATGGTGATGGTGCTAGCGGCCACGATGAGCTGCCGCATCAGCTTGTCATGCTTGGAAGCAGTGGCACCCGAAAAAGACAATTGCGCCATGTGCTATTGTTCATTTATCTCCAAAGGAAATATTGTTGTTATTCATCACTGGCTATTTTTGATCACCAGGTGGCAGCTTAGTAAATGGAGGGTCATGTTCTTAAACCTCATCTCTTTCCTGCTAAAGCCTTGACGCTGGAACCTAACTGTATAGTCGTTTGTGTTTCCACGGAATCTATCGCTACGTAATCGCTACGTCAAAGAATATTAGCGTCGTTAATGTGAGTGTGTGGTAGAAAGATATGCCCGAAGATAAGTAGACGGTACCATGCTTCAGCTACACCAGTCATGTCTTCTTGTACCCACCAACTCGCTGACTCTTTGTTCGACGAAATATACGGATGAAAACTACACCCACCAACACAACGCAATGTCAACAACATGCAACTACACACTAGTGTTTTATAATGTCATAGTGTTTTCTCATAGCATATAAACCCAGAAGTAGAACTCTAGGACTTTTGTACACAAAATATCCCTTTTCAACTACATGGTAGTGAATGGGGTTGATATGCAAAGGGTGGCTTCGTGTTAATGGGGGCTGTTCTAACCCGGTATTCCGTCGGGCTAAGAGCCACCGATTCATGATGATTGTCGCACCCCCACCAAGATCTCCAGTGATGCGAACACTATCCTTGCTATACTAAGCGAAGAGTCGCATCCAAACCCCGGCATTCGGTCCATTAGGCAGTTGGAGGTGACATGAGCATCGGCAAGCGATGCAGCTCTTGTCACGCATTCTACCCTGTTACTTGTAAACTGCGCGCCTACGATGCTAATTGGATACAACATGTAGTAATGCAAGGGGGTTCACAGTCGGCAATGCAAGTGTGCTAGTCATGATCAGTTGAGTAAACTCGTGCCGTTCTCGATGCCTGGTAACCCCAACAAGAACTGATAGCTGCAATCGGCCCAATCGGTATGAGACGTTGCAAACATGTGTGAAAAAAGAACAAAAGGCACGCTGATGGCTACCAGCTACCCACGAAGAAGGGACAGGAAGTATCCAAACTTTGCAACGAAGACGCATACGTAAATGCGTACCTAGATATAGGTATGTACGCCGCCGAAGTGTTGAAATAGTAGAGGCCAATGGTAGGCCTTACCGCGCCGTCCAGTAAGATAAGCGTGCGACGCTATGCACTGGCTCGGAATGTTTTTCGAGAGCTGGAATTATTGGGTGTGTGGCTGAGATGGACGGCAACGTCACAAACGCAAATACAATGGGCTCTTTTCACATGACTGAAGCTCGAGCAAGTCTTGATCAAGATGCATGTAGTTATTTGGTGTTCTCGTGGGGTTGCGTGTTGGCTACACAAAGGTTCGCGCCGCAGAGAGGATGCGTCGACACCACGATCTCAACGGGGTTATCGAGCCAACTAATCTACGACATGGAGCGGCCTAAGCCTTCATATAGGTAGCAGTAGTCTAAACGCCTAGCGTACCCTTTGATTACAAAAGTCCGGCTGCGCGATCATGACGCTACAGAAGCAGCAACTTTTCCTTGTGCCTATGAGATCCGGGATCGCCGGACCCGGATTTTCGGGTTCCTTGGCAACTTAGACGCCGACATACTGCAACAAGTTGAAGCTGGATCCACGGCAGCGTATCGAATGCACATTACTAGCAAGGTGGCGCACGACTCTGGTCCGTGGAAGAGCGTGGGTGCCTAGAATGCACATGTACGTATAGGGAACACGGAGAGTGGGGAAATAGAAAAAGGAATTATCTTGGTCCTGAGTCGCAACTGACCATTCGAGACGCGATTTGCGGAACCGCTTGGCCTGCACGAAAGCAAAAGAACAAACCGAGGCAACTTCCATGTGTCGCTAGGGGCCCGAGTAGCTTTGTCCGATTATCATGCCAGCAGCAGCGACAAGGCAGCTCACCGGATACCCCAAGAGATTGACAGGGGCGCTATCCATGAACACAGTACTGTGCGGAGTCGGATATGTCAGAAGGTGCCGGGCCCGTCGGCATGTCAGTTGACAAGGATGCCGAGAGTGCTAAAGGGGAACAGGCACAGGCGTGCCGCTGCATGGGCCAGGATATCGTCAACGAGCCTTTCTCTAACAGCCGTTGCACTTGTCCAAGTGGAGAAGCATCACTGCAAAACTAAGAGACGGCTCCCGTGGAGCGTGCCAAATAGCCTTTCATGCTTAGTCGACCTGTCTTGCCTTAACTCCCCGCAAGAAAATATAAGTACTGAAGAGGCAGGCAGGCACTATCATTCTCATCATCTCCATAATCACGGACTGCCAAAATGCACAACACTGTCCTGCTAGCCCTGTGGGCTGGCGTCTCTTTTGTACTATACAAGATCGCATGTTCAATCATTCTTTCCCGAAAGCGTGCCGCCACGGCCGGCCAATTGGGCTGCCTACCCGCCCCTCCTTTGGAGCTGGTGCCGTTTGACCCTCTTGGGTTACACAACATTGGAATGTTGATCCAGGCGGACAAGAACGCCCTTGTTCCTCAATGGATGCAAGAGCGCCACAGGCGAGCTTGTGCCAAGGCTGGCAGGGAAATCACTACATTTCATCAGAACGTCATGGGCGGCGAGAACTACTTTACCATTGAGCCAAAGAACATTCAAGCCATTCTGGCAACCCAGTTCAAGGACTTTGGACTTGGAATCGTCCGAAACAGAAACTTCTCCCCACTCCTCGGCCACGGCATTGTAAGTGGTCAACTTCTTTGATCCATACACCCAATGACATGTACACCTCACTAACAATAAATACAGTTCTCTACAGATGGCGAAATATGGGCAGGTTCGAGAGCCCTGCTTCGACCTCAATTCGCGCGGGACCAAGTCAGTGACCTAGAGCTCGAAGAACAACATGTCCAGCACCTACTACAGGCAATCCCCAAAAACTCCAACGGCTGGACCGACGTCACCGACATCCAGCCTCTCTTCTTCCGCCTAACCATCGACTCGGCCACTGAATTCCTCTTCGGCGAAAGCGTCGACTCGCAGCTCTCCGCCCTCCCAGGCTACAAATCCAACCGCGCCCCCTTCGCCGTCAGCGAGCAAGACTTCGGCATAGCCTTTGACAGAGCCCAAGCCCAAATCTCTACCGCCACCCGCTTCGGCGATGCCTCCTGGCTCGTCTTCAGCGGCGACAGGTCGCACATCCAACGCTGCCACAGCTTCATCGACCACTACGTGCAACTCGCCCTCTCCAAAGACAAATCCCGCCCCCACTCGCCCTCGTCAGACAAGAAGCAAAAATACGTCTTCCTCGACGCCCTCGTAGAATCCACCCGCGACCCCGTCGAACTCCGCACACACCTCATCTCCATCCTCCTCGCCGGCCGCGACACCACCGCCTCGCTCCTCTCCTACATCTTCATGTGCTTCGCCCAGCACCCACACGTCTACCAGCACCTGCGCACCATTGTCCTCTCAACCTTTGGCACCTACTCTTCGCCGCAAAACCTCACCTTCGAAGCCCTCAAATCCTGCACGTACCTCCAATGGGTCATCAATGAGACGCTGCGCCTCTACCCCGTCGTCCCCGTCGACGGCCGCCGCGCCCTCCGCGACACCACCATCCCCACGGGCGGCGGCCCGGACGGCACAGCCCCAATCTTCGTCCACAAGGACACCAATGTAGAGTATAGCGTGTACGTTATGCATCGCCGCAAAGATCTCTGGGGCCCGGACGCGGACAAGTACCGGCCTGAGCGTTGGGATGGCAGGAAAGCCGGCTGGGAGTACCTACCGTTCAACGGCGGCCCGAGGATTTGCATTGGCCAGCAGTTTGCGCTGGTTGAGGCGGCGTATACGGTTGTGAGGTTGACGCAGAAATTCGAGCGCATTGAGAGTGCGGGCAATTTGTGGGATCCCGTCGAGAAGGGAGGAGAGGGCATCATCAAGCACAACTTGAGTTTGACAATGTGTCCTGATGGAGTCAAGTTGAGGATGAAGGAGGCGGCGGAGTAAAAAAAAAGGGGAGGAGAGAAATGGGTAGGATATAGATGCCTGGGTGGTTTTTGTTGTTTTTCTTCTTCTTGTTCTTCTTTTCATGGTTTTTTTTTGCATTGCGGGGATATGTTGGATGAAATGATGAACTCGTCCTTTGCCTTTGCTTTTCAGTCTGGTCTAGTATAGTCTTATATCTTAGTCCTGCATGAAAAAAAAAACACAGTCACATATATCAACATCGATATTCTCCATTGTGAAAACCCCATTAATCTTCCCACATCTCATCTCTTATAGCTCGCTCTGGTCAACTTCCTCCTGGCTCGCCTCTGAACTAGCAGCCCACCCATTCGCAATCAGCTTGGCAACATTCTTGCCGCTCAAAGCACTAGTTTCCATGGTGCTAATGAAGCTCTCAATCCCACTGGTATACCAAAGCCCATCGTCAAGCTCAATCTCTTCAAAAGTGACACGTGGGTATTCCCGAGGATACGAATGCCAAATCTTGTGGTGGATCCAACTAACATTTCCATTGGCGTCGCCGTGCTCAGCTTCCTCGTCCGAGACATCGGCGCTAAGGATGTGGGAGAGAAAGGTAGCGTTGACGCGGGACGGAGAGAAGATCTTGTAGATGTATTCGTGTCGGGCTGGTGATGCTCGCTTGTTGACGCCGGTACCAGTGATGGAGATGCTGTAGAATTTGGGGGAGCCGGCTCCGTCTACAACTTGTTCGCCTGGGGGTAGAGTGGTAAGGATGGCTGTTGGTACAGGCGACTTGACATCTAGATTGAAAGCCGCTTGGCTGAGTTGAAATGGTGTCGCAAAGAGCGTTGTGTATAGCTTCGCGTATGGAATCTCATCAGGAATGTGCTTTGGCGCGGGTTCGATGACAAGATCCGAATATTGTAGAGGCGATGCGAGGATAACCTCGTCGAAAGAGGATGTTCCTCCTCCACTAGTGGCGATCTTATAACTGCCATCGGTCTGCTTTGAGATGCGGTTGACAGTTGTGTTAAGATGGACGTTCGCGCCAGAAGTCTTCAGCATGTGAGCGAAAATCTTCCAGTTTCCACCTTCAATTTGCATGGCTCCGTTAGTAGCCATGCATACCATTGTCTCCAAGCCATGAATGTATGGAAGATTGGAGGCGTAGTTGACGCGAGTGCTGGCTTGAATGATTTCTTTTGAGAAGGCCTCTCCAATCCCATTCGCCTTGAGGTATTGTTCGCCCGTGACTCCTGTGGCTTCCAGCAGACCCACACTCTCAACGACAGCACTAAGACTCTTCCACGGAAATACCGGCTCATCGTACATAGTCAAGAACTTGCCGACGGCACTTTTCATCAGCCTGTTGGTCCAAATTGGTGCAGCACCATATTTCCAGAGTATCTTCCCAAGACTCCACCAACTATCTCCCGAGTTCACAATTACAACGAATTCCTTGCCATTCCAAACACCGAGGTCTGGTAGGTTGAGTTC